TTTTTTTTTTTTTTTTTAATTATTGGCGCTTATTTTTATTGTTAATTGCGCTCGCAATATAAAAAAATCTAGATTAAGTGGTGCTATAGTTTTCACGTAAGAGAAATAAAAAAAAGTTCTAATGTTTTTTTACGTGTGTATCACAGTAAATTTTAATAAAAATAGATTAAAAAAAAACTACTTAAACTAAGCTACTGATATGACATACGGTACCAGTTAATCGAATTCTAGAATTAATAAATAAAAGCCCGGTCTCAATACATCAATTTGTTCATTTTTTTTTCTTTCAAAATATAGCAACATAAAAAGATTCTTAGAAATTATAAGATGGATTAATTTAAGAATTTTCTCGATGTACATCTACTCATATTGTTTTACAAATGCAATATAGTTGTAATAGAGACATTTGAAGATCACAAATTGCTTGGCCTTGACGAGTCAGGAGTAAAGCACTATCTACACCGCTTCACTAGAACTTGACACCTAAAAGTTAACTCTTCATTAAAGAGATAATTTAGCGATCATGTGCCATCTGTCGGAGGTTATCATTACTACTTTTAACAGTAAATCACAGAATAACTAAATTTCACATTTAAAAAGTGTTATTAATACTTATTTTCAAAAACAATTTATACGAATAAGAAATTCATTTTTGAAATATATAATTATATATTTTTTGAATAAATATTTTTTAACGCATAAAACATATGTTAATTTTATAAGAATATATTTAATGGATTAAACCACACGGAAAAAAATAAATAGTAAATGCAACATGATGCAGTCTTGGTAAATAAACATGATTAGTCATGTTGCCGAAACATGGAAAATCGTGTGGCAACAACATGATTTGTCATGTTTCTGCTACATGACAATCATGTTGCGATAGCATGAGAAAAATCATGTGGCAGCAACATGATTTGTCATGTTGTCTTATTATCACAAAATTAAGCTGCAACAACTAAATATTTATGATTAAAAACATCATTTATTCTTAAGTAACTAGGTTTTTTAGGATTTATAAGATTGCAGATGAAAATAAGAGTAAATTATCGAATTATACAATTTGTGAACGATATCTTTGTTCATTTAAATTATACACAATTTTATGCTATTATAAGGCTACATGAAAATCATGTTCCTGCCACATGATTTTTATCATGCTACCGCAACATGATTCCCATGTATCCGAAACATGACAAATCATGTTGCTGCTACATGATTTTTGTCATGCTACCGCAACATGACAATAATGTTTCGGAAACATGGCAAATCATGTTGCTGCCACATGATTTTTCTTATGCTATTGAAACATGATTGTCATGTATCCAAAACATGACAAATCATGTTGCTGCCACATGATTTTTATCATGCTGCCGCAACATAATTGTCATGTCGCCGAAACATGGCAAATCATGTTGCACTCACATGATTTTTATCATGCTACGCGACTGCCGATTGCTAGTTAACATCATTTTTTTTAATAAATACGTTTTAACTAGATGAAATTACACGTCAGGACCCTGTTACTCCGCACTGCACAAGTACTCTCATTACCGTAGATATTAGCGAGCATACGCTACAAACTAAATTCCCTTCTAATCTACTACCCCTGGCAGTAGTTGAGGATTATTGGTTTCACGCGAGGATGGCCATCAACATTATATTATGCCTATAGGGCATATAAGTAAAATTATAAAGGGAATAGAAGTTAACGCTATATATAATATACAACACCGTATTTACGTCGAGAAAGTGAATATACAACAACTTTAAACACTGTTGAGAAAATACAAGCTAAATAGTACACATTATACATTAACTTTGATGTATAATATATACTACAGTATATTATATCAGCATCCCTTGAAACTTTTAACACAACTCTCATTTACGAAGGTTAATTATCGGCAAACTACTTGCTCTGTTTACGGAAGCTCAGTACAGAGTGTTAATGTTTGTTATTTTACCTCCGAAATTACTACTTTGATATATTTTATTCTATTTACTCTATTTACCTTTTTTTTAATTTATAATTCAATCTATCGACAAGCTATTTAAATATTTTTTCAAGAACGAGACAGAGTTAGAGGGCATTTAAAATGTTTGATGGAAAATAATTGCTTTAATAGTCTGTCCAAATTTTCTTGCTATCCTGCCCGATACTCGAACTTCAAAAATTACGTTATGGTTCCAACAAAAGGGACAAGGGACCTCGTCTTTTGCTTTTTCACGTTCGTTGTTTTAATTTTTTTTTCTAGATCGCTTTAAATAAACTATAATGGTATTGCGACACAAACATAGTGAATTATTACGACGGTAATTTTGTTTTAAATAAGTGAGTTTGCTTTTTTATAATTTTTGATGGATATTTGATAGGGGTTTAATGTAATTTTTTTAAGTAAAAAGCTTTACTTTTATTTTATAGAATTTATTTTTAGTAAATTGATGGGGTAGAAATTTAATTATAATTATTATTATTAATTTTAATTCATATTATTGAGAGAAAAAGCAAAATTTTATGGTTGTATTTGAAAATGCTCTATCTCAAGATACATAATTAAAAAATGAACTTGTATTTTGTCAAATATTGACATTTTTAAAGATATAAGCTCATCCTGACATTACACTCATCGAGACCTTTCATTTGAATACCCACATCAATTTTTCATATATATATATATATATATATATATATAT